TGGGACCCAAAATGTGGGACTGGGACCCCAAAATGTGGGGATGGGACCCCAAAATGTGGGGCTGGACCCAAAATGTGGGGCTGGACCCCAAAATGTGGGGATGGGACCCAAAATGTGGGGATGGGACCCCAAAATGTGGGGCTGGAATCCCAAATGTGGAGACATGGAATGCTATAGGAAAGAATCTATACGGCAGATCTATGGGGCAGGGGGATCTATAGGATCAATCCATGGGTCAGGGAGATCTATAGGATCAATCTATAGGTCAGATCCATGGGGCAGGATGGATCTATGGGGCAGATCAATGGGTATGGGGGATCTATAGGATAAATCCACGGGTCAGGGGGCTCTATAGGATCAATCCATGGGTCAAACAGGATCTATAGGTTCAATCCCCGGGTCAGGGGGCTCTATAGGATGGATCTATAGGATGAATCCATAGGTCAGGGAGCTCTATAGGATCGATCCCCAGGTCAGACAGGATCTATAGGATCGATCCCCGGGTCAGGGGGCTCTATAGTTTCGATCTCTAGGATGAATCCATAGGTCCGGGGGCTCTATAGGATGGATCTATAGGATGAATCCATAGGTCAGGGGGCTCTATAGGATAGATCTATAGGATGAATCCATAGGTCAGGCGGCTCTATAGGATAGATCTATAGGATGAATCCATAGGTCCAGGGGCTCTATAGGATGGCTCTATAGGATCAATCCCCGGGTCCAGGGGCTCTATAGGCTGGATCTATAGGATGAATCCATTGGTCAGGGGGATCTATAGGATAGATCTATAGGATGAATCCATAGGTCAGGGGGATCTATAGGATGGATCCATAGATCAGGGGGCTCTATAGGCTGGATCTATAGGATGGATCCATAGGTCCGGGGGCTCTATAGTTTCAATCTATAGGATGAATCCATAGGTCCGGGGGCTCTATAGGCTGGATCTCTAGGATGAATCCATAGGTCAGGGGGCTCTATAGTTTCAATCTATAGGATGGATCCATAGGTCCGGGGGCTCTATAGGATGGATCCATAGGTCCGGGGGCTCTATAGGCTGGATCTATAGGATGAATCCATAGGTCCGGGGCTCTATAGGATGGATCTCTAGGATGAATCCCCGGGTCCGGGGGCCCTATAGGCTGGATCTATAGGATGGATCCATAGGTGCGGGCACTGACCAGGCCGGCGGGTGCCGCAGCGCGGGCGGCTCCCTCTGCGCGATGTGGTACAGGGCGCTCATGGCGTTCAGCTGGAACAGCGGCGG